TGTACTGAAAACAATCTCTAGCTTACAAAATAAGTAAAAGGAAATAAAAAGAAAAGCAGAGACAATCAGACCCTGAAAAAATAAAAAATACAGCAGAGGATCTGAAACAGAATCAAATGATTAACATCTGTTGGGAAGCTAGGACTGTATGGGAAAGAAAGAGCTAATTAAGAGCCCACTCTAACAGTTAATCTCTGAACTGACAGAACAGGCTCCTTTTGACTTCAGTGGGTGGTGGATCAATCCTTGCAAGAACAAAAATCTAGTTAATGGAATAACTAAGCTGGAAACAAAATGAACGTGAAGGATAACAGAAGCTGGCTTGTATCTGAAGATAAATATGTCATGTGGGCAGATGAGTAGCAGACGTGCAGAGAACATTATGCTGATTCCTGTGGAAGATTGCATTTCCTGATTTTCTTTGTACTTGCACATATCTGGGCAAAAATCCATATATAGTGTACAAATACAGAACACACAGTGAAAAATCTTAGCTTCAGAACAAGTTAATGTAACATGTCATTTTAGGTATGTTACTCCCTAAGGGAGAGTAAGAACTTTCTCATCAAGTGATTTCACATAGGGCAGGTGGGCCTGTTAAAACAAACATCTTAAAACTGAAGGTGCTCAGCTGCTCATTCCATCTTTTCAATAGAAGGAAAACAGGCAATCTGATGACACGGATGTGTTAAGGACCTCTACCCCTCTGTTAGATCCTGGAGAGAGACATTGACTAAGGTGGGGCTACTAGAACCAACTTACACAGATCCCTGCTCATAGGAACATTAGGACAGATGAATGAAAGAAGCCTCCCAAGTCACAAATCCAGCTTCTCTACTGTTACAGGCAATATCACTATGTAACCTCATTTATACATTAATCAACTCCTTAAGGCTGGGAGGGCTTACTCCTCTATGACACAAAAACAATGGCTGGGAATTCAAAGAGTGTTTATAACCTAAGTTTAATCTTGGACAGTTTACACTCCTTGTGGTTGTACAACATTGTCCTTTAACTTAAGTCTTCTCCCTCTCGAGTGTTTACCCTCCTTGATGTATTTATAGAGAGCAATTAAAAGTTGTATCAAACACTGCCTTGCTAAACTAAACAAGATAGTACCCCTTTTTGTCTCCTATCATGAGATCATGGAGGTACCTGATGTACGGTTCAAACATATGCTGTACTAATTTTCCCCACTAGGCAGCTGTGCTGAAACAATTATCCTGGGCATAGACTGTGTGATGCTCCTTCTGGTTTGGAGATGTTACACATGGAGCAGCACGGCATATTTAAGTAGAGCACCATCCAGTACCCAGTCACTGTTCTTTCTGTCATCCTTCTCTGTACCTGTCAGTTTGGTCCTCCTTTTTCTTCTGTAGCTAGAACCATGCAAACTACTTCTGCCACTTCCAAGTACTTCTGCAGTCTATAGCCTGGCAGGCAGAAGCCCTGTTTTTTTCATCTACAACCTTCCCCTCCTCTAATAGCTGTATTGAAAGCTGGAAGGGGGTAACAGAGGGTAATCTGCACACAGAATATTTGTCAGCTAACAGAGTCACATCAAAACCTTAAAAAGGAACAGTAGAATTAAGATTTGTTACTTGTTTTATTCTTAAACTGAGCTACTTTAGAGCATACTGCAAAGCATAACAGCAGATATTTCCTGCTGTTCTGTATTATCTAATGTGCAGTAAACTGAAGGCTAAGTATGAAAATGGGGGGAGGGCCCAAAGCATGAAAATTGTGTGTCATTCCTTACTTCACCTAGTCCTCACACCATAACAAGCCTTGAAGAGAGCTTGGCTTTATGTTTGTGTGAATGAGTGATTTTATTTTTAGCCAGGAAGTGTGTGATCCCAACATAGGAGGCAATATCATAATGTGCCCTCAGTGTGATCGAGAATGTACATACTGGAATCTCACCATCACCTGTGAATCCTCTAAAGTAAGTTGTTGTTTGCAGCCTACCAATGTGTTTTGTAAGTTCAATTACAATAACTTTCATGTTTTCACCTGTACTATTTATGGGTAAATATGTCCCAGTGTTTCCCAGTCTGGTTTCTGAAGAGCTGCAAGAACTGTGCAAATAATTGATTTTTTTTTTAATTCAGTGGGTCAAATGAAAAGTCAATAAATAAATTTCAGCTGGACCCTTAAGGAAAAAGTTTTGGTTTTTCTCGTCAGAACAAAAAACTAAAAATATTTGGGTTTGGGTGAAATACAGCATTTTGTTAAATCCAAAATGGAATGTTTGCCTTTACTTTATTTACATGAATCCAAAAAGAGATTTCCCTCCCACAATTATCTGGCTGAAACCAGAGCTGAGCAGCCACATCCCTGGGCTGGAACAGCTCATTCAGTGGGGGAGGGGGCACATGGCTAGGGGGAGTGCAGGGTTGGCTGCAGGGTACAAGCAGGAACCCACAGCCTGTCCCCACATTCCTTGTCCCTCCTCC